TTCTTTCTTTCTTTCTTTCTTTCTTTCTTTCTTTCTTTCTTTCTTTCTTTCTTTTCTATTATGGAATCACCCACTTGACAAAGGTGTTTTGAGAAAAGACTATACAGGCTATCTATATATCAGGAAGTTCACTTATTCCAACTCTTTGATACGTTCTGGCATGACTCAAAGTAGAACAGAAGTGCTTTGCAAATAAAAGGGTGGGGCTATGTAAATGAGAGCTAGCTAAATTCTCACATTGGAATCTATAACTATCTAGCTGAATTCTCACATTGGAATCTATAACCCAGTGTAAATAGGTCATAATCTGGAAAGTTATTGAGTTTTTTTCTCTCTCTCTAAATCACTTAGGATGGGGGACCAATTTTAACCTCTACTTATGTCTTTCCCTATGACTCTGCAATATATTGGTCTTTCTTGCATACATATCCTGCTTGTTACAGTGGCCATGATTTCATTGATTCTAAGTGCTAGTCTTGAAGCTCTGTCTCTATGTTATAGCACCACCAAGAAATCGAATCCAATAGGGCTACACCCAAAAGAACAACCCTGATTCTCACTGTCTGCTGCTGTTATTACATTCTGTGCAATGAAGTTAATGGGCAATTGGCAGGATTCTTTGGGAGGAGGGAAAACTATTATGTTAATGAAAAATGGACACAGATTTGGACTACAGATGCAGGCACTTTTAAACTGGGAAAAAGCACTTTGGTTGTCATACTATCATTGTATTTTGTGCCCCCCCCCCAGTATTTTTGAACTCTACAGGTTTCTCTTGTGTGTAATAAATTATTGAAATATGGTAAGATAAAATTGTACATTACTTAACAGTGAAATGAAATTAAAGAGAAGTGGAGGAGTTTGAAGTTGCCACATCCATTGTTGGCAATCTCTTTTTTAAAAAACCCTTTAGATAATCTCCTGATTCCTTTTTTGGCTGGAATGGAGTTAACAAAACTCATAAAATATTAAGATAAGAATTAGAAATTTCATTTTGTGTATAGGTCTTTTTTCTTTTGGCCCAATCAGGTGACAGTACCTATCAGTCTCGGCTGATCTTGAAAACTAAGCAGGATAGGATCCTGGGGGACCCACCAGGATATCTTAGAACTGTAGGTTAGGCTGGGAATTTGCAAAAAAAAAATCTCAGAAAAAGTAGCAAACCATTTTCATATGTGACCATGAAGTTCATAAGAATTAAGCATGATTTGAAAGAGAATTCATTTTTTTATTCTTTCCTTTAAACTAGAGCCTGGAGGGGAAAAAATGGGGGCAATTTTCTCAGACCCACAAATGGAAGGGGTCCCATCCAAAGTATGATGGAGTATTTGAATAAGCGGAATCACTGTGATTCAAGGTAATAAAAACAATCAATTAAAGTAAAACCCCAAGGCTTATTTCAATGTTTTAGTTTCCTCCTCACATTCCTGCTTATTTGGCCTCTGGAGGGAAAAAAAATAAAAAGAATAAGGGACCAAGCTTTCTGCTGGCCTTTCAGCATCTTAAAAAGACTCTAGAGCTATCTCTGAATCTCTCAGCTGTCTCAGTCTTCCTAGCCTTTATTTAATAGTGATTAATTGATTTTATTTAGATTGATGGATGGATGGTTTTTATATACCAAGTTGCTCAAGACAGCATATATAATTTTCCCCTATGAATTATTGTCACAACAATCCTGTATAGCATCTTAGAGTAACATAGTGACTGGTCTAGGGCTACCCAAAAGCTTTGCTGCAAAGAGATTAGCTTTAATCATTTGAGTGCATGAAGGGGCTGTTACACTAGAGTCGCTTGTCCAGTCGTCTTCTGATTGAGTGCCTTAACAGTACTGGAAATTAGGCATGCTTATTATTGCTTCTCCCCAATATCCATTTTTCCCATTATGTTCAATCAGTCACAATGTTAGTGGTTTGAGAGACAGGTATAGGAAGGGAGAGGCCCAGTTTAATTTGATAAAGTATGCCAATTCACTCTGATGTTGTTCTTTTGTCCTAGATTCCTCTTCAGTATCAGTTTGAAATTATATTTATTCAATTACGGCAAAAATATGTTTATTGAAATGTAATTTTCAAGAGGAAACATCTCACAAACACTTCTGGGAATTTGCAGTGATATTTGTGGTACTGAATGCAGTTTGTATTTTACGTTTAGTGTTTTGGTGAATTCTGATGCTTGATTCTTATCTAATCATATAGTATTCTGTTTTGTGAGTGAGTTTGGATTGGTTGGTACATGAGAATGGTTTATATTGTCCAAATCATAGTATCATAATGGATGTACATATCTAATTGCCTTTCAGTCCATTTCCCTGTTATGTAAAATAGGTAACAGTGGTAATCTTTTTTTTAAGTTAATGCACTTTCTGAGAATGTTATGCGGCTGCATGTGGAATAAAGCTACTTGTTTAGAATGCACAGCAGAACAGTCATAAGACAGTATAACAATATGCAGGTGTAAGAGATGAATGACGGAGGGAAAACTATGCCCAGTTGCGGTGCAGCATCCAGGGATGCAGGGGAGAGAAGAGGATTCATTCTACCTTTTTTATATGGGCTTAGCAAAAAGGCCATTCTATTGTTTCAGAGAAGAAGACAATTCACTGTAACAAATCCTTTGGGAGGTACTGTATGCTGGTGGAGCCAACTGTTATCTGACACTGTCAGATATCTAGAGCAGGTTTCCACAGCTACACTGAGGAGGACTTCACTAAGAGACTTTACCCTGATGCAAGGGAAGTACAAAATAATCTGAGTTCCACTGGTCATCTTTCCAGCATTGCACTATAGTTTTTTTTTTTTTTTTTAGAAGTAAAGAAGGAAACGGCCATGGTGGAAATAACTGGAGATAGGTTAAAAGGCCATATAATAGCCTTTGTGGCCCTTTTGAAGCATTAAATCTAGAAGGAATGATAATACTGCCTTTGAAATAAAGTGCTAGTCAGTGCTCAGTTTAAATTTGCTCTTCTTTTTCCTGTTCTTTTATTCTCTTTCACTTTAGCAGATGAAGTCAGACTGGGTGTTTCTTGTATTTCTTAAAATACCAAGAAGACAACAAAAGATATTTAAAACAGCTCACACTGATGTACTTGATAAATGTGGGAGGGAAACACACCAAAATGTGCCCTTTTCTAGGATGTATCAGTCCTTACACCTTCTTGGAAAATACAAAAGGGCAAAATAATAATGGGGAAACCATGAGAGAAAGAAAGAGAGGGAGAGGGAGAGGGAGAGAGAGAGAGAAATCCTAGACAATAGAACACCCTGTTTCTGTGTCACTCACTCTGTCATTTGAACATGTTTTCCCAAAGTTTGAAAGCATGTGTAAAAGACTGAAAAATGCTTATCTGAGGTATCTAGTTTGTGGATTTTTGTTTTTTGTTTGGAAACAACAAAGCAACATTCTTCCCTCCCCCTCCCTTCTTGTTCTTTAAAAAAGAGAGAGAGAGAGAGAGGGAGAGAAAGTTTTGAGAATTTTACTTTTCTATTCACTGTAGTTCTGGCCAAAGTAAAGCCCTCTTTTACATTGACGTCAAGATCTTTACTAAGATTAGGGTTTCATTTCTCTATTGCAGCAATTAGCCAGGGAATGTATAAAAGGCTTGAGGGAACCAAGCTAGGACTCCAGAGGAAAAGCACTTTGTACCACAGGCAGATAGCGAGAGGCAGAGAGACGGAAGAGTGGCAGGGAGAGAGGCTGAGCCGAGCCAGCCAGCAAGGAAGAGCAGAAAGTTTGTGTGCAGAGACTTTCCTCCAGAGCCCTCCCTTGACAGAAAAGAGTATTATTTCACCTGATAGCTCTGGTAATAAAAGAATGAGAAAACTACTTAAATAGGAGAAAATTAGAGGAAAGTTAGCCTGTTCCTTTTCAGTTTTAGAATTACAGGCAATTGGCAGCCTGGCTGTCTCTCTCTCTCTCTCTGTTTAGAGGACTGAAAAGGGCTTCTGGCTAAGTAAAAACAACAACAGTAGTTTGAGTTAGAGTTTCTGAAAAATTAAAAGCAGTTCAGGGTGGAAAAACGTTCATGTTGGCGTGGTGCTTTCCTTTTTCTTTTTTCTTTTTAAAGCGGCTCCACGGAAGTGAGAACTGAGCCAACTTTGCAAGAGAGCTAACGGAGCACGATGAATTTTTAAAAAGCCCCTTATATTTTATTACTTTTATTGTTGTTTTTCACGAGGGCACAGGGCATGAAAAGGGAACTCAAAGGAACCCTTTGAAGAACAAGAGCAAGCAAGATGGGTTTGTTAAGCATTGACCTGTTGATCACACTTCAGATCCTGCCGGTTTTTGTCTCCAACTGCCTTTTCCTTGCCCTCTATGACTCGGTGGTCCTCTTGAAGCACATGGTGCTTCTCCTGAGTCGCTCCAAGGCTGCACGTGGTGAATGGCGAAGGATGCTCACATCAGAGGGGTTGCGCTGCGTCTGGAATAGCTTTCTCCTAGATGCCTACAAGCAGGTAGGTTTGTGGACGGGGGGCTGAAGACCAAAAATCTGAAGAGAGACCTTGGTGTCCACTGCAGATAGGAAGGTGTTAGGATAACATGTGCATGAAGTTGATATAAAGTTTACTAGATGAACACAAGAATTCTAAATATTATGATCTTAAGCAATTAGCACAGAAAGTATTAAAAAGTTAGCCATCTAACTTTGGGCTAATTTATTCCAGTGTTGTTTTATTAAGAGATATACATTCATATTCTGATTTAGCTGCTTGGGTTTACTTATTCTGTTTTACAAAAACACTTTCTGTATTTGCCCACTTCCTGAGTAGTTAATAGCACTATATTAAGGTCTACACAGAAATTTAACTATCTGCACTATTGCATTCAATGGTGATTTTTCTTTGTGCCCTCCAAAAACCTCTTTTCTAGTGCACAAACACACACACAGAGTCAGTGGCAAATTCTCATGTCTTCTTTTTTGAATATAATGGTAAAATTTCGGTGAGTCCAGATATATGTAGAACTGCAGACTTAATAGACAAATAATCCCAATTTCTCATACTGCCAGCTATTAAAATTAATCAATCTATCAACCCTGAGAATATATTTTATTATCAGTATTTAAAATGGCTAGGCAGAATTGATAGGAAATCAATCTTCCCCACCTCATTGTGTCCATCTGCAAAATGGAAATAAAATAGCCATACCCTTTTTTTCTGGCCCAATTCCCATTTTGCAGATGGAAACAGTGAGGTGGGGAAGATCATTGTCAGCTGTGGAACTGATCCATATATCCATTGTGAGAAAGTGCAGACTCTCCTTGCATTTTGCAAGAGAAGCATAAAAATTTTCAGAACAGTATGTAAAAAGGTTTCCAATATTTGTGAGTAATAAACTAATTGGGTCATCCTCAAAAAACTTCACTGGGGGGAACTGCTCCTATTGACATCATTTTACAGCTTGGTATTTCCCCAGTTGCTGACAATTCGGAAAACTTAGTTTAAACTCCCAGAAAGATTTTTTTTTAAAAAAAACCCTGAAATGATGATGATGATGATGATGATGATGATGATGATGATGATGACGACGACAAAATCATCATCAGTCAATTGCAAAAGGCATCTTTACTTGGAACAGCTTACATCCTGCAATGATATCTTTAACACCATCAAACAACAACATCTGCCTATCCCAGGTGGATAAAAATGCCAAATCCTGTCTAAATATCTGGCTGACTGGGCAACCAACCATAATAAACACTCATCTTTCAGCTAGTGTGAACATTCCATACAGAATTTGAATACAAAATTCAAAGAAGCTTTTATTATGCTGCTTGAAGTAGATACAGTAAGTCCAACCTTTTCCTGACCATAGGTGAGAAGACACTTGCTTTTCACTGGTGTCAAATGTTCTTCCTATTTCTGCCAAAAAAGGTTATTCAAGAGATTCTTCCATTCTAGCCTTTTCTGTGGCATAAGGGAACTCTTGCACCATGGAGAGCTCCCATGGTAGTATCAGGAGTAAACTGGAGAGAGTCTTAGGTGCCAGGGATAACTCTCTTCACATATTTCCCCATGATAGGTAAAATTATTCTTGAATAGAATAGCTCTCACAATGCTCAATAGATGTTTCAAGATATAGTAAACATTTTTAAATTGTACTTAATAGTTTACTCTTCTGGGTAATCCAGCGGTAGAAACTATTTTGCCAGAACATCATTGGTATCTTGAAGTTTGAGAATATAGCATATTGAAACTCTTTCACTGCAGAATTTATACATAAGTAGAACTGTAATGCAGTCTTTCTACAAGGCAGTAGTGTATAGGTGGACTTATATAGTACTGTATACAGTAGTGATCATTGTCTCCAGATTTCAGCCTGCTACTTTGCACAGCTTTCTTTCTGGTACCAAAAAAGGGCCTGAGATGTTAACGTTTGGTGGATTCACTAGGCTGATATTTTTTTCCCAACCAATGGAAAGTATTGGTGTTAAAAAAAATGTTCCAGAGAAGCAGATTTTATGAATATTTAAAACTGCAAACATATGGATTTATTTGGGGACATTTTAATATCTTGACCTATATTAAAATTTTGCCTGGAATAGTAAAAAAAAAAAAAAAAAAACTTGCAAAAACAATATTTGTCTCATTTGAAGAAGTACATATTAATCCTGGTTGCTTTCAACTATGCACTTGAGCTGAAGTACTACTACGAGTATCAGGTGCTCAGAAGAATTGAGATATGCAAAATATCATAATGGCTCTAATGACACACCCTGTAAAATATATTTTGTATTCCTGAATCCCTTCCCAAAAGTAGCCTAGATTTCCTGAATGGTAACAGCTCCAACAAGCAAATAAGCAAGCAAATATTTTTCCCACAGGCAAATAATGGCATCCTCACCATTATGTTATTAAGAATCTTCTGTTCAGTTCTTCAAGTCTTCCTGCTCCTGCTCTGTAATATATTAATAAGCACCTGTTGGCCAATGTATTATTTGAAGTTTTTTTGTACATCTGAAATTTCCAAGCATGTTACCAAGAAATAATTATGTAAACAGTATTTTGATTAGTACCCAACTCTGATACACAGATGAACGTATGCAAATTGTTTTTCTTGGAAGTTTGCATATTCTAAATCAATCTATGCCTCCCATTCAATTTTTGTCTCCTGATTTATTTTTTCTTCTCCCACAAAGGGTAACAATTTCTACAGCAGACACAAAAATATTAGTCACAGAAGTATTAAGAGGTGTGGTGTTTTTGAAGGTCATACTTTTCTGCAAGATTCTTATGGGAGAACAAAGCATAAAGGTCTATACTAGACAAGATGAGCAAAGTGTAATTTAATAACTCCCAGGATGTTTCTCTAAAAAAGAACATACATATTGCAAAGGCATTGCTATATTTTCCTTATAGCCTAGAGCAATAAGGAGAAAGAAGGATGATGTGCTGATCTGCCTGAATCTCATTTTCATAAATAGTGCTTCCATTTTCTACTCAACTGCATCACTAATGAGTTTGAGTAAAGCCCAGCTAACCTATTCCACAGTCACTATAGTCAGGCTATTCAACTGCCCATCAGGAAAAAAATGGCTGTGTTTCCACTGCTAATGGCAGCAGAAAACCAAGCATCTGTTTTCAGACAGCCAATAGATCATGCTGATTAGCTGGCCAGTGGGAGAAGCCACTGGAGCTTCCTCTGGCTCTACAGAATTTCTGCAGCTGATAGTTTCTTGCAGCCAGAGGTACAAGTTGTCCTTCCCAGCTCCGGTCTAATGAAATATGCAACAACCTATGGCAAAACTACTATGAGCTGGGACATTTGGTAATCCAGATGGGATCATCTTCCTTACTAAAGGCCAGGTACCCAGTCTTCAAATATTCTTACACTTGATATGGAAGTGATGGTGAGAATTTTCTATCAGGCTAAGGTAGCTTGACAATTGCTATCCTATCTAGAGAAAACTGACTTAGCCACAGTGATATATGTATTTGTAATGTCTAGGTAAGGTTACTGTGAAATGATAAATAATGAACTGTTCTTAAAGTGAGTTCAAAAGCTACAACTGGCAGTAAGAATGTTTGTGGGTGCTAATTACCCAGATTTTATTATGCCTATTCAGCAGTGGTTATATTGGGGACCTCTTTGCCTCCAGGCCTAACGTAAAATGCTGGTTTTGGCTTTCAAAATGTAAATTATTTTAGACCACGTATATTGAAAGACAGACTGAATTTATTTCAGCCCCTGGAAACATTAAAATTGGTATCAATTATCATATTGTTTGGTCCATCCATGAAATCTCTTAGGCTGGTGGACATACAAAACAGAGCTTCTTCTGTGGTGGCCCTGCACCTTAGGAATTCTTTCCCCATCACTGCAATCTTTATAAAAATAACAGTTCTATTCGGTTTTGCATTTTAAACTTCGTAACAAAATGCTTAGCTACTGCTATATTTTGTTCATTTGTTTATCAGCTTGTCAATTGCCTTGTGAGAGCAGTGTGCCAAGAAAGAAAGGCTAAAAGCTTTAAAATAAATCAATATATTATACAACTCATTTTACACTGGAGCTTCCTAGAAGGTAAGAATGTGATTCAGACTAACATGGTAGAATAACAAAGCAACTAACCGAGTGGAAGCCCAGACTATATTGAGAGATGGGTAATTAACATTGCACTAATACCAGTTCTGACTTAAGCACTTATCTCTTCTTTTCCCTTCTCTTCAGCAGGTTATCCCTGCAAGGAGCAGAAACAGGCAACTTAGTTGTGTTGTTAGAAAGCTGGCACTGTGGACAATGTCTGTTAGGAGCCATGTTATATTTAAAATTCAAAGGAAAAGAAGTTTAATTAATGGGCTAATACAATATGGAGCAATTTGTTGCTTAAGCTGCTATTTACAGATTTTGTTTCATTCAACAGAGTTATCAATGATTCCCTCCTATTACTCAATTTTTCTCTTTCAGGTATTTTTATCCAGCTTTAGTAAGTACTTTCTACATAGCTGTTGAACTTTGCTTTCCATTCTGAACACCTGCCAGGTTCAGTGTTTTTCTTTTTCTTTTTTCTTTTCCTTGTACTGTCCCCTCCTTATCATTTGAAAAGCAGCCTCAGGAGGCAAGTACATCCTGTGTTGCATAGAGAGGTTCTTTATAACGAGGCTAATTATCATAATGAGGGTTAATGGAGCTAGGGTTTATCACACTGGGTCACTTTACATTATAGAAGAAGAGTTCAAAGAAAGGGCTTGTTTCTGAGGGCACCTCATACTCTTGCTCCAAAAGATCCTGAATTATTGCAGGGTGCCATCAGGATGGAGAAGGCAGCTGCATCGATCATATATTATGAAAACATTATCCTTCCTCCCAGCCATTGCATATGTGTAAGGTATCCACAACTGTCATCAGTTCTACAGATCATCCAATACAGACTTAGTGCCACCATGTTTGACCTGTATGTAACGTACATGTGTAGAAGTTATACAAACAATATACAAGTCATTGCTGGTCTTTT